AGTGTAAACGTTGGGACCATTTCTGCTAATTACCCCAAAATATGACATTTTTAGAATAAGATTAAAAGAACTAAAAAATTACGTGTACCATTTGCTGTGATTAGTTAAAGAACAAGTTGATATATATATATATATCAACTCAATAGATCATTAGGAGTTGTTTGACGAAACTTTTGATAACTCTAGGCCAAAATCATGGTAGGGCCAAATTTCTGGTTTTAGGACAGGTATAAAAGCAAGCTAATCTCACATTGGACACTTTAACTCTAGTCAGATTCTTCATTCCCTGTTTCTTCTCTCTTGCCCCACATTTATTTTGCTGAGCAAATGGATAATTTCTTGGGTGGCCTATTACTACTTTGATTTTCATTCCAACTTACGTTGTCTAAGTTATCTTTCCCACTCATCTGGTCCAAATTCGCTGCATCTTATGCTGCCTTGGGTTTCTTGAGTGCTATTGATTACCTGGTGTATGCATATGCATAGGCACATCCACCTTCATCAATTGCCTCTCTTTTGGATATTTTCTGCACTATTTGGATATCTTCTTCAAGAACAAAATCAGCATATGGACTATTAATGCTATTGTCATCAACATTATTGCTGTTATGGCTATCGTTGCACTGGATTTGGATTCGAATTCGGATTCAGATTCGAATAGGTACGAAAGTATAACTGACCGTCAATATGCCCTTGATTTTGTATGGGACATATTCCGTCTGCACGACACGTATGGTCTTATTTTCTCTCTATCTGAGATAGGTTTTGACAAGTTAGTGGGACGAAGATCATTCCACATAGTTGTCGAGCAACAGGTAATGGTTTCTGTTACGAGAAAATGAGTATAGGCAATAGAAAAATAAGAACAAAATACAAAATACACAAATTTATGTGGCAATCCTAGACAGAAAAAATCACGAACAGTGATGAAGGAAATCCACGGTATCAAATATGAGTAAAATAGTGTAGTGTTTTGAGTTGCTATCCAAACAAACATAACGAAAAAATTCACAAGTCAAACATTGAGTATGGGGCAATTTATTTTTCAGGTTTTAAGTTTCAAAATCCAAAACTCATACATTAATTAATTAAATACATTTTATTAAATATATTAAAATCACAATTATATAATTAATGGTCACAGATGCATACTTATAAGTCACAACTTATTTATTGATCATTTATTATCAAAATAATTGGTCACAAATTATTTTATACTCCCAATAAAATCTTTTGATAGATCACAATATATTTGTCAGTCATAAATTTTCAAATTAGTTTGTTATGAATTATTTTTTTGATTAAATAGTTTGCCACAAATAATCAAATAGTTGATTATAGATTAACCAAATAGTTGGTCACATACTACCACCACCAATACTTGTGACCACCACCACCACCACCACCAATACAACCTAATCACCATCGCAGCCCCATTGCCAGCAACACAGCATAGCCTCAATCACCACCATCGGCCATTTCACTTCCGCGTGGTGAACTAGTTGCGACAATGCAAAAGAGTGCCACAGAAAGATCTGAGCATCGACTTTGGAAGAAATATTGTTCCGATATGAGATCATGGGTCCAATTTTGGTTTCAGATCTTAGATGCGGTACAAGAGCACGAGGTGGCGATGATTCACCACGTTAAACTTACTCTTAACCTCAAAGGTGTCCCCTTCCGTCGAAGAACCTGTAGAGGTGTAGCGCCGCCTCGGCTTCACCTACAAAGGCGCAGGGCTACAACTATGCGAGGTGATGCTACACTTCCAATGCCTCAATGTGAAACCCTAATATTATTAATAATTTAATTAATGCATAATTCTTTATTAAATAAACATTACACCTGA